CATCTCGCCTGCGCAGTAGAGGAGCGCGTCCTCGTGCCCACGGCCGCCAAGGTCGCCGAGAACAAGAAGGAGTGCCTTCATATGGAACAGGACCAGGAGGATCAGCCCTCCTTGACCATCGCCTCCAGCACCATCACCACCGCGCCTCGGCCTGCGTCCACCCTCAAGCGCATGGTCACCTCCGTCTCGTTCGACCCGCTGCCCACCTCCAGGGAGAAGGGCGAGAACAAGCACCTCCTCTCTGTCACGCCCGCGCGACGACGACGCGAGGTCTCGTTCGACATCAGCTACAGCGCCCAGATGGTGTCTCGGTCGCGTAGCGACTCGCGAGCCGTCACCTGCACTGTCGACGTCGACGTCGACGAGGCCACGACCACCATCGCCACCACCACGGTTGCGGCCGGCGATGAAGAGGAGGACCTGACCAAGCGGCCGACATGGGTGCCGGACAGGGAGGCGCCCAGCTGCCACCAGTGCGCCAAGGGCTTCACCTTCATCCGGCGACGGCACCACTGCCGCGCGTGCGGCGGCGTGTTCTGCGGCGCGTGTTCGTCCAATCGCATCACCATCCCGCGCCTCGACTACACGTCGACCGAAGTGCGCGTGTGCGACCACTGCTGGGTGCGCGAGGCCGAGCTCCGCTACCGCAAGCCGTCGGTCTCCCTCTTCGCGTCGGCGTCGCTGGTGCCGGCGTCGGGCGTGCGTCGACGGCCGCGTCGCCAGTCGCTGAGCAAGTCGAGCGAGGTGGCGATCAACAAGAACCTGCTCAAGCGGAGCCTGCGCAACATGGAGATGGCCGCAGAGGCGGCCGTGGCGAAGGTGCAGGCCGAGCAGCAGCAGCAAAGAGAGAAGAAGAACGAAGACGTCGTCGACGCGGGGCACGAACGAAAGGAGAATCAGTGAGGGCGAGAGAGCGGGAGAGAAGGTTTGGAGGAGGAACAGGCGAGGGAAGACGGCAGAGACGTTTCCTTGGCCGGTGGTAGAGCGGGCACAACGAAGAGAACATTTCTCAGAGAGTCAAAGAGGGAAGCGATCGGCTCGCTTCCGTTTTGTAAACGATTTGTTGTTGTACATTACATAAGAATGAACACTTACTTTGCACCATCATCACCCGTGCTCCTCCCTTCTTCTTCCTGCGATGGCGGACTAAAGAAAGAAGGAAAAAAAGGGGAAAAAAGAGAAAAGAAGACAAGGCATTCGATCGACTCTTCTCCTGTCGGGCACTACACTTGCTTCATCCATCAAAGCGAGTCTTTCGATCACCTCACGTAAGTCGGGTGCACTATGGCGACTGCCTCGCCGTCTCGCAGAGCCAAGAACGTCACCCAGTACGATTTTCTGGATGAACCCCACGTTGTTGTGACGGATGGGACCTCCTCGCCGTCCGCTTCGTCCTTTGGCCTCAGCTTCCCCATCGCCTCCCCCGGCCTTCGATTGTCCCGAGGTTCGCCCAACCAATGCTGGTGGCAGCGTTGCCCCAACGATTTAACCTCGATTTACTGACCCACACTTTATCAAATTATATTTATAATTGACACGTTTTCGATTGTGCCCAGATGCGGGTGAACTGTTTCAGCTCTTTTTCAAGCACAACGTCAAGCACGATATCAACTTCACCTTGCGCGAGTTTGAGGTGCCTCGCTCGTACTCTTCTGTTACAACCTGCGCGCCACTGTACGCATCGCTCATCACGCGTGGCGCTGACGCGACCGCACAGAAGAAGCGAGGTACCTTGCCGCAGAAGACTGTCGAGAACGCCTTCGAAGTGCTGCAACTGGCGCATAAGAGCTACGCCAACAGCCAGCAGTTGTTCGATCAGTATGGCGACACTGCTGCCACCATCTCCACGGACTGCTGCCAACTGATCAAAACCCAGCTCTCCAAGCACACTTCCTACCAGGTACTGCTTGCCTGGCTGCTGCTGGCGTCGCGCGGAGTCGTTCGTTCGGAGCTCACACTTGCTCGTGTATGGCTTGTGCACTGTAGGAAGACCGCCTACAAGCAGCGGCAGTGAGAGAGGAACAGAGACACAAGGACAAAGCACGCTACGACGACGTGCATGAAGAAGAACGACAGCGGGTGGACGCTGAGTTCAGCGAGGTGCGCACGCCTCCTCCGCCGCACGAAGTGTTCACTGCACATGCGTGAATGGAGGACTAATCCACACCCCGAATCGCTGTGATCGCAACTCAGCTGGTGATGACTCTGGACGAGCGGTACACGGCCCAGTTCAAGTATGTGCCGAAGAGCCAAGACGAACGCGAGGAGCGCAAGAAGCAGATACGGAAGGAGGTGCTGTTGCAGCAGTTGGCCATTGTACAAAAGCGAAGGGCTGACAGAAAGGCAAGGAAGGAGAAGGAGAAGCTCGAGAAGGAGGAGGAGGAGAAGGCGAAGAAAGAGAAAGAGGAGAAGGAGAAGCTCGAAAAGGAAGAGAAGGAAAAACAGGAGAAGATAAGGCTTGAGAAAGAGAAGGAGAAGCTCGAGAAGGAGGAGGAGGAGAAGGCGAAGAAAGAGAAGGAGGAGAAGGAGGAGGAGGAGAAGGAGAAGCTCGAAAAGGAGGAGAAGGAGAGGCTTGAGAAGGAAGAGAAGGAAAAACTCGAACAGGAGAAGATAAGGCTTGAGAAAGAGAAGGAGAAGCTCGAGAAGAAGGAGGAGAAGGCAGAGAAGGAGAAGGCAGAGAAGGAGGAGAAGGAAGCCGTCGCTGCAACGACAAGCGACGCGACCCAAGAAGAACAGCCACCGAGCAGCGACCAGAGCACAGACGATCAGTCCGCCCCGCTCGAGCACGGAGAAGAGGCCAAGCCAAACGAAAACGGGCATGCAGTAGAGGAAGAGACAACCACAACCACACCAGAGGAAGAGGACGACGAAACCATACCGGACGAGGTGAGCGAGTTGTTGCCAACGATTTGATCATCTCTCCAGTGCAACAGTATTTTTTGGCTTTTCTTTTCCAGGAAATTGAGAATTAAAAGAAGTTTCTGCTGTTCTGCTGAAAATGAATCAACTTGTGTTGGACAAAGATTCGTCTGCCGTGTGTAGCGCCACTCATCTCCACCTCGCCCTCGTCTGGGATGCAAAAGAAGAAGGTGTACACGAGAAAGAACAGGGCCAAGCAGCAGGTAGAGGCAGCACAGCAACAATGCAATCCGAAATTGACAATCGGCAGCCCCAAATCGGCAGATATCTACGCGGTGCTGGACGCGGCCAAATCGAGTAAGAAGAAGGCAGACGAACCACGGCAGCGTAAGGCCACAGAGAAAGAGAAGCGATCTTTTGACGAATCCACACCTGTTGATGAGCCTGCACCAAGGCCCACTACCTCGAAGGGCACAAGCACTTCAACGACAGCATCGCCTTCTCGCACTTCCTTCGTCTTCCGTTCTGCGCGAGAGATCGAGGAAGCGCGGGTCGACGCGAAGTCTGAACGCATAAAGAAGGGCCGCGAGGAAGCACGCGAAGCTCGAAGCAGCCTTGCTGGGTCGCCAACAAAGTTCAGGATGGGCTCCACGCTGTACCACGCGCGACCGAGGCCGTTTACTCGCGACACGACCATCGGTGACTACTTCCCCTCGTACGACCGCTGGGCCACTTCGAACACCGGTGCGCACCACTACGACTTCGATAGACACAACGCCGAGTTGGAGGAGCTGGACCGAAGCGGACGCCGCGCGAGGTCAGCGAGCGGGGGCCTCGGGATCGTCAACAGATCGTGGGCCACGTCCCCCGTCACGTCTCCCGTCTTGTCGTCGCGTCCTGCCTTCAAGCGCGAAGGGTACTGCCCGTGTTGACACTTGCTCTTAGTTCGTTCTCGTGCGAGCGCGTCTACTTACTGTTCGCTTTCTACTTTGCGCGCAGCTTGCAGAACCTGGGCAATACGTGCTACATGAACGCGGTGCTTCAGTCGCTACTCTCCCTGGAGACGTTCGTGTCGGACATGAACAGAGATGAATTCATTCAGGCGCTGCCTTACACGTCGTTCTACCAGGCCCTCCTGCAGGTGAGTGAGTGAAACTGCCTCTTCCTAACGTTCACTTCTGACTGTGCTGTGTGTGTCGTGTGGCAGATCGCTGTTGAAATGAGGCGCGAGAAGCACGGCATCATTAATCCGTGGCCAGTCAAAGACGCCGTTGCTCGGATGGCCAAGCAATTCTCGGACTGGATGCAACAGGTACTTGATCCCACGGCCTGGTGTTCATTATAATGAACTCTTCACGCCAGCAAGCAGGAGACTAACGCCAGCCGTGGTGTTGGTAGGATGCGCACGAGTTCTTGGTGAGCTGCCTGGATCAGTTGGAGGGCGAAATCGACAAGATCGGCCAGGATAGCCGCGAGAAGGCCAAAGCGGAGGTCGGCGCGAGCTCCTCGAGCTCAACGCTGGTCATTCTGTCGGAAGAGGAGAAGCAAGCCGAACGCGTAAGGAACGACAAGTGCCCGATCTTCCTCAACTTCGAGTCGGAGGTGGAGCACACCTTCACCTGTCGCAATCCAGCCTGCGAAAACGTAGCCCGAAAGCCGGAGATCTTTAGGGACTTCTCACTCGAGATCATCGAACCGCCGCCCGGAGCAAGGTATGCTTGCGCTTCCAGCGCCGCTTAGTGGTGTTGGCCGATCTGGTGAGCTTGGTTGGCTTAATCACGGTACGGTGTGTTATGGGCACGATCGTAGCGAGACAGACAAACGCAGTAACAAGCCATCGGTGCAAGACCTGGTCAAGTTTTGGTTTCAAGGCGACGAGGTTGTGGAAATGCGATGTGGCAAGTGTGAGGAGGCAGGAGAAGCAGATGTCGGACACAAGTACACTACATGACTCTTCATGTCCGTTTGGTACCACCAACTTGGTTGCTGACACTCTTCGCCGCCCTTGCAGCTTTCTACGACTTCCGCGTGTGCTCATACTGCATCTCAAGCGCTTCAAGCCGCTACCGACGGACATCTTCACGATCCGCAAGCTCCAGGACATGGTCCGCCTCAACAAAACCATTGATCTCGGTACGACGAGGCTCACAACTCTTCTCCTTTCTTTTCTTCGCCTGATCACGTCGTGGCTTCTACACCGGCTTCAGGGTTCTGTTGTGACCGACGCACGTTCGATCCGTTCGCCCCAGGGCCGCTCAACCTTCCATCTCACGACGCCGCGTTCAGTCCCACCTCTCGCTCTCCATCTTCCTCGCATTCGCCGTCGTCAGCCCCGTCTCCCTCTCCATCATCGCCCTTTTCGACCTCTGTGGCGTCGGTCAAGTCGTCGGAGTTCAAGGTGCCCGCACCGCATTCCAAGGTGGTCGTTCCTCCCACGTCGTCATTCCCCACCGGTGGTGCAAAAGGCGGGGAACGCATCGACGACGACGACCTGTCTACGATCATCGAAGGAGGTCTCGCCAACAACAAGCGACAGCGGACGCAGAGCAGTGATTCCACGAGCACCTCGACCAACGGCACCAAGCTGAGTGAGGAGGAGATGATGGCGCGAGCGCTGAAGGAGAGCGAAATTACCTTTGCAGCGGTGGAGCAGGCCAAGGAGGAAGAGCGGATCAGAAAGGAGCAGGAGGAGCTCGACATGGCCATCGCCCTGTCGTTGGAGGAGGGACAAGACGATGAACAGAGGGTCAGCATGAAGAGGAAGAGGAGCACCAACGCCACTGAGGTACCTCCTGAGATCATCGTATAAGATACACAGCAAGCTGGCTCACCTCGACCCCCTTCTTTTTCTAGCACCCATTGTCCAGCGAGCGCGTACCAACAGAGACGACCAGAGCCTCTCATGCTGCATCTCCGCTTCGTGTACGAATCACCCTCCTTGGTGA